GATATATTAAAAGAAGTACAAGAGAAAGGAGAAACTATAAGATCACTAGAGAAAAACTCAACACATTAAACATGCTAACAATGCCTACAAAATAACCAATCTCGTACATTGTACGGGCAGAAACTAGTTTTAATAAAAGTTTAGATTTCATGAAATGTGTTGTTGAAAATAAATTTTTAGAAATGGAAGCCAAGCAGGGACTAAAGATGCTATTAGGAGATTATTACTATTTTTGTAACTCGATCTTTTTTTTTTTGAAGGCAATTGGATTAAGGAGATGATCTGCAATTGGCGTTTGTTTGTTTTTTTTTATTATCCTGCGATTTTTGAAAAAATGTAGGTATGTAAAAACAAGATAGAATAAATATAGATGTCACTCCTTACAATTTAACATGGCTTTACATATTTTACCCAATCATTTTCTATTGTGTATGGACCAACCTTTGAACTAATTATTGTTGTTTTGAATAAGCTCTTGCATCTATTTTTTTTTTTTACTTTGTGAAATTATTAATTTTATATTTATTATATAATTTTATTTACTCATGAGAACTACTTTACTTATAAGTGATTTTTTACATATAAGTTAATTTTTAACTTAAAAAATAAAATATTTTAGTTATTACAATTTTTACATAAAAACAAATTTTTGCGTATAATTGAATTTTTATCATGTAAGTCTGTATTTACTTAAAAAATATTTCTTAAGAGATATTAGAATTGAATTGAAATGAAATATATTTCTGTTATTCATCAAAAGTGTCTGAAATGAGTATACATATACAATATAAATAGCTAGGGAAAGAAACGTCTGCTATCATAACTAACATATACAATATAAATAGCTAGGGAAAGAAACGTCAGCTATCATAACTAACATCCAGATGGCAAAACTAACTTATTAATTATATGCAAAGTCGGCTAAATGAATTGCATACACATTAGTTCTAATACTCCCCCTCAAAATGTGATGTAAATATTCTTTACACACATCTTGGATAACAAAGGAATAAGAACAGAAGCAGATAAAGGTTTAGTAAAAGCATCAGCAAGTTGATGATGTGATCGAACCAAATGAATCTTAACTACGCCAACCGTAATCTTGTCGCGAATGAAGTGACAGTCGATTTTAATATGCCTCGTTCACTCGTGAAAGATAGGATTGACTACAATCTGAATCACAGCATGACCATCACAATAAAGAGCAGCTGGAGATGCAACAACAACTTGAAAATATATCAACAATTGATTGATCGAAATGATCTTACTAACCGTGGTTGCAAGGGCTCTGTACTCAGCTTCAGTTGATGAACGAGAGATTGTGGGTTATCTTTTCGATTTCCAAGAGACCATGGAATCACCAATGAAAATGCAAAAACCAGTGGTTGATTTTCGTGTGTCAATACAAGATTCCCAATATGCATCAGAGAATGCTCGAAGCTTGATGGATGAACCAGAACCAGAAGTATTTGTGAAGAGAAGATGAGACCTTGACCAGTACTTCCTTTTAAATATCTAAGGAGATGATGAACTGCTTTAAGATGTGATGGTCTTGGTTGAGACATGTATTAACTTAATTTGTGCACTGCAAATGTGATATCAAGACGTAAAAGAGTCAAATAGATCAGTCTCCCAATTAATCTCCTATAATGAGAAGCATCTGGCAACAAATAACCATCATGAATGCAGAGAGTTTCTTTTGGATCCATATGACTATTTACTAGTTTACATTCCAGATAACACATATCATCAAGTAACTATAGTGCATAATACCTCTATGAGATGATAATTCCTGATGTGGAGCGGGCAATTTCAATCCCCAAGAAGTACTTCAAACATCCCAGATCATTGAAGTTAAATTGAGAATGCAAAAGCACTTTTAATGAGTCAAATAGGGAATAATCTGCATTAGATTGAGTAAAACCATATTGAATTAAGGCATGAGATAACTTAGAATTCCATTGCCTTGAAGCTTGCTTAAGTCCATATATGGACTTGTGTAATTTACAAACTAGCTCCCCCTGTTTGACCGGTTTATAGAACTCATAGCCAAGAAGAAGGTCCATATAAACCTTCTCAAACAAGTTACCATTCAAGAATGCATTATTCACATCCAGTTGAACTAAATGCCACTTATG